AAGCAAAGAGTTTTATATTTATTTATATATATATATATATATATATATATATATATATATATATATATATATATAAACATTTTTATTTTTATTTTTGATGCAATCTACGCAAAGGATACATATTTTTGCATTTCTTATTTTATTGTAAAAATATGTATCCTTATTTTATTTTTGTGGTCTGCACAGAGGATACCACATATTCTAATTGGATTCATTTGGCAGATGCTTCCTACGTTTGCTCTCTTATTCTAAGGAACATTCATGCAACACGTTGCTGAGATTACCTCATTTTTTTCACTAATAAAAAACTTTACAAGTGATTGAGTGCAACTCCGCATGATTAGCAGAACAGAGAATGTGGTCAGAGCTGAGGGGGAAATGTTTTATAAAAATAGGTTTTAAAGAAGTAAAGGCATTTGTAGAGATTACTGTATTGGATAGTAGCCAATATGTGGTTTACACTGTCAATTCTGATGGTGTTCATTTGGGGATTTCCCTTCAAACCTAACCTGCTACTGGTTAAAGTTGCTTAATATCCATCCTATACTCTTTAATAAATACAAAAATGGTTTACTTCTAGCGTGAACAATTTATAAAGTAGTCTACCCATAATGCAGAGTCTTGACGATTTGTAAAGGATATGAATCTGATGTGTGTGTTCTTGAGCAGTGCAGAAATAGTCTTGCTGGTCTGTGGCCTGTCTCATTGCTGCTGGGCTGTAAATACAGGCCTGTGAGCTGCGGCTCTCCCACGCCTTGCTGCACCCTCACAAATATATATCTGGCCTTGCTTTTGCTTTTCTGTGGTGAGCGGGTGGCATCAGCAAGGCAGGGAAATTACAAACCAGGCCTGGACTCCCTCTGCCTCCACCCCAAATAAGTAATGACTGGATGTAACAGGAATAGCTTCTCTCCTGTGAGGAAACCGAAACATGAAAATATGCTCTTGTGTAGAGAGTCTACAGCGATGTGTGTGATACAAGCATCTTCCTTCCTGTGATTCACAGAAAATCGATAGTACTGATAAAACAGATAGTAGCTCTGAGTGAGGTAGACACTAACTAATTACTATCATTGAAAGTGGAAATATTTTCATTATATTGCGGTCTACATAAAATGATGCAAAGACTTCTATGACTCTTGCAATACAATACAAATTCATTCATCACCAAATGAGCTCAAAAAAAAAAAACCATTGCACTGAGTTGTAAACAAATAATAATGCCTTGGTATATTTATATTAGTACTCCAAGGTACTTCAAAAGTACTTTCTGGAAACCTATTTTATTTTATTTTGGTGCCATTCGTGTGACAAATTTTTATTTTATTTATTTTTACTTTTATTGATAAATTTTTTTTTTTTATTATTTTAAACGTTTTTACAAAAATACAACTTCTTGGTAACAAGTTACAATAAATTTCCATTTATTAACATTAGTTAACATGAAGTAACGAAAAATGCTTCTAAAGCATTTTGTAATCTTAGTTAATGTTAATTTCAGCATTTACTTCTGCAATATTAAAATCAAAAGTTGTATCTCTTAAAATTATTTGATGGACCTGAGCTAAGATGAACTAACAACAAACAGTTGAACAAATGCTATTGCTCATTGTTAGTTGATGCATTAACTAATGTTACCTAACGGGACCTTATTGTAAAGTAGGTTACACTTTATTTTAAGGTGTCCTTGTTACCCTGTAATTATACATTTAAGTACGGAGTAATATTTATGGTTAGGATTTGGGTTCGTCTTAGGGTTACTTGCATGTAATTATGCATAATTAATTGTTATTATAATAGTAAGTTCGTGTAATGTGTGCAACAAGGACACCTTAAAATAAAGTGTTACCGTAAAGTGTTATGATCTTCCAAATATGTATTAAAAAACTGCTGTAACCACCTTCATGAAACAAAATGCTGACTTCCTGTTTCTGTTGGGAATGACTAGTAACGGCCACATCTGTGTCCATTTTCTTTCAGGTTTTTAGAGGAAGTATGTCACTCTCTCTGCGCTTTGTTTGCCTGCTCCTGACTGCTCTCTGGGGCAGCAGTTGCTTTGCCAAGCCCGCCCCATTCAACGTGTCAATGGAGGGCAGCGGGGATGAACCCGAACTCATCTTTCCCATTGCTCGTACCACCCATGTTCCTCCATCCCCCTCGCCTCCTCCCAACATAACAGCCACTTTCATCCGCATCAAAGACTTCCTTTTCAACCAGGCAGTGGACTTCCTGAAGGAGAACTTGCTTCTCATCATTGTCGTGACCTCTCTGTTGGTAGTCATCATCTTCATCGTCTGCTGCGCTTCAGCGATGAGCCACAAACGCAAGCTTGAGGCCTACTATCCTCCAAAGACCTACGCACCCAGGAAATACATGAGCCAACCTAGTAAAGCTATGGAGAAACCACATAATCAGATTCAGGAAGGTAAGACCACAACCGCAAAGACCCTACGGGAACCCACTAAAGCACTGGTGGGTGAGAAGGAAGGAAAAGACCCCCAGCCCAAGCCGAAAGAGGTCCAAAAGTTGGAGGATGTTGAAGAGGTGGAGATGCAGAAAGATGAGCCCAAGAAGAAAGAGGAGCCTCAGCCTATCACCTCAAATGTCACCTCCAGTCAGCCGCTAGTCTGTACGTGCCACCTCAGGAAGGCCAATCACACCACAGCGTGAGAGCTTTTTCTGAAACAGGCAGGAATGACCTTGATCCCAAACTTTTTCTACTGGTAGATATGATGCCCACACTCTTACTCTTTGTGTTTTTGTTGCTTTGCAACTTGTGTATGTGCCATCAGAGGAAGAGTGGACTTTTTTTTTTATCAACTCATTTTGTTTCTTTAAAAATTTGTTTTGCTAAATAAGAAAAAAACAGTGAGTTGACATTTTTATTATTCATGTGGAAAATAAACAACACTTGAAACTATTTTGTGAATCCCTTTCTACTTTTGAGAGACTTAAAGGGTTAGTTCACCCAAAAATGAAAATTCTGTCATTAATTACTCACCCTCATGTTGTTCCAAACCCGTAAGACCTTTGTTCATCTTCGGAACACAATTTAAGATATTTTTGATGAAATCTGAGGGCTCTCTGTCCCTCCCATAGACAGCAAGGTAACTACCACGTTCAAGGTCCAGAAAAATACCAAGATGATCGACAAAGTAGTCCGTGTAACATCAGCGGTGCAACTGTAAAGTTATGAAGCTACGAGAACTTGTGGACATGCGTTCACGACAGTACCATGATGCGAGCGTGTGGCGGCGCTGACCCAGATCTGGCGTAATGATGTCATCACACCGGATCTGGGTCAGCGCCGGCGCCACCACACGCTCGCATCATGATACTGTCATGAACGCATGCACACAAGTGACGCAGTAGAGATGAAAATGTGGAATAAAGTTATTATTTTTGTTTTCTTTGAACAAAAAAGTATTCTCGTAGCTTCGTAACTTTACAGTTGAACCACTGATGTCACACAGACTACTTTGTTAATCATCTTGGTACTTTTCTGGACCTTGAACGTGGTAGTTACCTTGCTGTCTATGGGAGGGTCAGAGAGCCCTCAGATTTCATCAAAAATATCTTAAATTGTGTTCCGAAGATGAACGAAGGTCTTACGGGTTTGGAACAACACGAGGGTGAGTAATTAATGACAGTATTTTCATTTTTGGGTGAACTATCCCTTTAAGAAAACATCTTTTGAAACTTTTTCTGATCACTTTCCTTTCAGTTACCGGTATATTTTACATATAAAATGTCTTTATGCATGGTAACCCATAATTTATGCTGTATTTTCCGAAGCTGTAATCAGATGTTATACATGATGACCGTTATTTTATCTAAACTTCATGACTTTCCTCAGTATTGGATTTAATTAGCTAACATTTTGTCAGGTATGTTTTGTCATGAAAAATAAACTCTCCGAAAATGAACTCTTCTGCTCTGTTCCAAATAAACTAATTGTTTCAGAGATGCAGATACACTACTATTCAAAAGTTTGGAGTATGTATGGTTTGTTTTTGAAAGAAGTCTTTTATGATCACCAAGGTTGCATTTATTTGTTTAAAAATACAGTAAAAACATATCACTATTTCACAATTTCACCAGTCATTACTCCAGTCATCAGTGTTACAAGATTCTTTCAGAAATCGTTCTGCAGATTTGGCACTCAGGAAACATTTCTTATCAATGTCAAAAAGCTGTACTAAATATTTTTGTGGAAACCACAACATATTTTTTTTTTCAGGATTGTTTGAATAAAAAGTTCAACATGCATTTTGCATTTATTTGCATTTTTTGCAAACGGCATTTATTTGAAATTTTTGTAACTATAAGTGTTACCGCTTCCTTGTGTTCTCTCTGTTTGTCTTGAACGGTGTGGTTTTTTTTCAAAAGAATTGTGTTGGCTTGGCTGAAGCATATGAAACTCAAGAACCCCAGCAACAGAGCCCAGTGCAGCGCAACGGCGGCAGCTACAGAGCTTTTGTCACATCCATACAATGTCCAATCAATATTTCAGAAGCTCATTCCAATAGCCTCTCACAGATCTGGAAATATCGGGCCTTAATGGAAATATACTGGTTGAGATAGAACCAGACGATCAATTTCACATTATGCCAGTAATAAAATATTTCGTGGACAACTTCAAAATTCCCAAGATTTACCCACTATAGATTATCCAACTTGATTCAGAAGTGGAATCATGGGTGAATTCCTTCATGCAAGTTATTTTTCCAGAAAAACAATCCTCACACCTCTTTAACCACATGCAGCTTTTGTTACAACGATGTTATCAGCCTATCATTGATTAATAGCCAGCTGAATGCAAATTAGCCTCATAACTGAAATTAAACCCCATTGCCATGGCGCAAGGCCAAGTGTTGGTAGCGTGTAGTCACCAAAGAGTAGACATCAAAGATATGCAGTGAAGCCAGACACTTGAGCCCCGAAAAAGAAACGTAGCTCAAGGTCGAATTCTCCCCTCTTTTGTCCACAAGGTGCTAAATAATTCTGGAAATACACACTTTCACTTCACTTTGGGACTAGATGCAGACTTGAACATGATTTTGACTATGGTTAGCGTAACTCTATAGCTTACCGATGATTCATCTAGTTTTGTTCTGCAGATGGTCAAATAACATTTCCTTGCACAGAATGGTTATTAAACGTGTTTCCTATCAGAGAATTACTCTACTAACCCAGTGCAGCTGTATCATGGGAAAAGCAACTGGAGTGCCCAATGAATTTGCATTGCGAAGAAGATACAAAACAGGTAACTCAAAACCTTAAGGCGGCCATTAAAGTTTGATGGGCCACAACCCAGAATTTTCAGGGTGAGCACGGACCGTTCTCTGGAAGGGACATGAGGAAAGAGCGGAGAGGTTAAAGACGTGACGCAGATAAAGTGAAAGCGAAGGGTCAGCTGAGACAGGGCAAGAATGGTGAGTACCACATCCCTATGTCACACGTTTGATAACGCATTAGGAGTCGAGCTCAAGAAGGGAAATACGTCCTGGAGGAGCTGCAGAGTCCATCATGGTAATTAATTTTGCTCAGCTGATTCATTTGGGGTAAATGAAAAGCAGTTACTAACTTCTACTTTCCCCTTTCCTTTATCCATCCCTTTCGATCCTTTCCCTCAAGTGAGCCATGCGTCCTAGTCTTCTCTGCTGTCTCTTGTTGTATCTCTGTTCGTCTCTCCTTGCTGGCCTTGTTGTATCCCCCTGCCCCAAAGGCTGCTGCTGTCCCAGTCCTGGTGCTCTGGTTCTGTGCGAGTCTCTTGGCCTGCATACTCTGCCTCGCTCCGTCCCCCTAAGCACCGCCGTCCTCTCCGTAGCCCGGAATCGGCTTTGCAACGTGGATAATGTGTTCCAGCCATATTCTGGCCTGCAGGAGCTGAGCCTCAGCCACAATCAACTGGTCCGTTTTCCTCGTGGGCTTCCGTCAAGTCTGGAGACCCTTCAGCTTCAGGAGAACCAGATCACCTACATCACCGCTGGGTCTCTGAGGCAGCTCGGGAACCTCACACGCTTGGATCTGGAGGATAACCGGATACGAGCAATTCAGCCGGGGGCACTGCAAGGTCTGACCAGACTGAGGATGTTGACTCTGAAGGGGAACAGATTGTCTCGTCTGCCACCAAACCTGCCTTCTTCGCTAATACACCTGGATGTGTCAGCGAACTGCATATCTACCCTAGATCTGTCCTCGTTGGGTGCACTGGTGAACCTACAAGTGTTAAAGATTAACAGTAACTGTTTGCGCTCTATACCCGAGCGGGCTTTTGATGGAATGTCCCGACTCCGATCAGTGGAACTAGCCAATAACCAGTGGGTTTGTGAATGTGACATCTTGTATCTTTATAGATGGCTCCTGACAGACAGGTTACGGATGGCGACGGATCTAGTATGTACAGCTCCTTTGCACCTCGCACAGAAGTTGTTATTAACTCTATCAGTCATGGCCATCTGTCCAAAACTTTTTAAGCCTGTTGAGAGAATATCAACATCAGTGAATACGGAATCTGGGAAAGTGGCTGAAAGTCATATAGAACAGACTATAAGTGCATCTATGTTGGTTAGATCTGACACTGCTTGCAACACGAGTTCTTTCAGAAGTCGAGAATCTTCAAAACTACCTGAGAGCACAATATCAAGGTCCTTTTTTGGGTCAGACCAGCCCACCTTAGAGAGACTGAGCTACGAAGACTGTCTCTCTCTAAATTTGACATCTTTTATACCCAAATCCACCCAAGTACCCTACAGTCTAGCCACAGATGAGGAAGCTGGTTGTGTGGAGAATTCGACAGGGAAGCCACCTGGAGCATCAGCCACTGTCACATCTACTGGTTCAATGACCCCAACTAGAGACATTGAGCTCACTCCTCGGACAATATTACAGTCCAGTGACCCGGCGCTCATTGCGATCCTGGCTGTTCTTTGTGTGCTTACAGGACTGTTGATGCTTACAGTGCTTTTGGTACTGAAGAACATCCTTCTACGAAACCTGAGAGTTGCACCGCTTCCACAGGTTCAAGAAGACAGCACACATTCATGACCTGTATTATAGCAAATATTTTGTGTAGAGAATAATACAAAATGATGGAGAATGCAACATGAATATTTACAGCTTTATTAAGTTTTTGCAACAAATAATACAGCACCAAAGTCCAAATTTTATTTTTTTTCCCTGGTGACTTTTTTTTACTTACAAAATCACTGCCAAAACTAATATGATCCCTCTGAAAATCTGAACAAATAGACATTTTTCAAATCCCCTACTTTCCTTTTTATAAAGTGTAGTAGAGTACATTTACAAACTTTGCAGTAGTATGTATCTGATATGGAGGACATTTAATGTGAGAGTATGAGATCTTTAGGAAATAAAGAGTTTATTTTAATGTGCGTGATTCAGAGATACAGGAGAAAACTTTAATCCAAAAGATCTTCACAATCTGTAAATGCAAGCCACTTCAAACCAGCAATACAAAGGCAGTGCGAATAGAATAGCAATGGTATACGCAGGCTAATGTGTTTATTTTATCCTCAGAAAGCATATAAACTACAAACATTTTCTGAGTCACAATGAGAGTGGGTGACAGTGACTCGTCTGTGAATGAGGACATTAATTTCGATCTTCCGCCAACGACTCCTAGTCGTCTTTCTGTTTGAGCCTGTAGTCTGCTAATGCAGCCTTGATAGCATCCTCTGCAAGCACTGCCAGAAAAAAACAAGATTATGAAATCAGAGCATTTGATGGTTTTTTTAATGTCATGAACGTGTTTACAATCTCAAGCAGCCAGTTTGATACACTTACTAGAGCAATGAAGTTTGACTGGTGGTAAACAAAGTTCTTTGGCAATCTCCGTGTTTTTGATTTTCAGGGCTTCGTCAATCTGTACACGGAAAAGAGAACATTGAAATGTTGGTAGGAATGCTTGAGAGAACAAATATGAAGCACAATGAGATCATCTGATGATACTGTGAATTTATGCAATGGTCTGAGTCACAATGACTCACCGATTTTCCCTTCACCCACTCTGTGGCCAGTGAGCTGGAAGCAATGGCTGAGCCACAGCCAAATGTTTTGAATCTGGCATCTACTATCTTGCCATTCTTGTCCACCTGAATCTGTCAGACAGGTTGACAACAAAAAGTCACCAATGTAAATAGTGTGTGTACATATATATATAAATATACACACACACACACACAGAAATTTAAATGTCAAAAATGTCTTACCTGAAGTTTCATAACATCACCGCATGCAGGTGCGCCTACCAAGCCGGTGCCTACATTCTTGGCATTCTTGTCCAGAGAACCAACATTTCTGGGGTTTTCATAGTGGTCCACCACCTTCAGAAAAAAAGTATGATATGTAAAACATGACCACATCCTGATCATATTTAACAATCAAAGACATTCATCAGAGAACTTGTGAGAACAGTTTACACCAAAAGAAAACGTGCCCTTGATAGAAAACAGTGACCTTCATAACAGAGATGATTAATCTTTATTAGTAAATCATCTTATTTAAATGTGTGTGTACTTACTAAAATATAGGTTTATTCACCTGTGGCAGAGTTAAGATAACATAACGTTACTGTAAGACATCACTGGCGAGTTTGTAGGATAGTTACACAAGTGGATTATTATGAAACTAACTGTAAATATGGAGGAATGTCATTTTAACTCCGTCAAAAATACATAGTCCAGCTGATGGCGTGTTTTCTACTCAGACTGCCGAGAATATTGTCGTCCATGTCCAGTGCTCTGCTGGTTTGTTTACATGCGCAGTAAACGAACGTTAGCTTAGCTAGCAGCAACCACGTTGAAAGTTGTTCTCAAACATTAGGAACTACAACTTAATCATATATCAATTCTCGTGCCACGGTCGGCAGTAAGAATAAAAAGTGACACGTACCTTTTTATGATAAGAGAAGGCTGTTCTGAGCTCTGGTAATGACAAAGATCGACTGAAAAGTGCAGGAGATGCACAGCGCTTAGCTGCCGCTGCTAACGCCATGATGACTGACTACTGACGCTACTGCATAAACAGAGGTCAACCGGCAGAGGGAGATTTTTTAAACTATAAATATTATACATTTTACCTTCAGATTATATTGTATAGATAATTTCTGCCTTATAATTATCACCGCTGTTTTACACAAGCAAACATTAAGCCCTCAAACTATAGTAGCCTATATCTAGCTCAACCAGCAGAGGAGCGCTTTCACTGCACTGCGATCGACTGAAAAGTGCAGGAGATGCACAGCGCTTAGCTGCCGCTGCTAACGCCATGATGACTGACTACTGACGCTACTGCATAAACAGAGGTCAACCGGCAGAGGGAGATTTTTTAAACTATAAATATTATACATTTTACCTTCAGATTATATTGTATAGATAATTTCTGCCTTATAATTATCACCGCTGTTTTACACAAGCAAACATTAAGCCCTCAAACTAGCCTATATCTAGCTCAACCAGCAGAGGAGCGCTTTCACTGCACTGATCACATTTTAGTCATCATTTATTATAAATAATACACTTTTCATATTTGTATTGTATGTAGCTGTGTATTTCTACATGCTGTAGCCTATTTTATATTCAGCGTTGGGGGTAATATATTTCAAGTAACGCAAGTTACGTAATCAGATTACTTTTTTCAAGTAACTAGTAAAGTAACGCATTACTTTTTAATTGACATGAGAATATTTGAGTTACTTTTTCAAATAAGTAACACAAGTTACTTTTTTTTTTAAATTTATTGATTGACAGCTCTGGTGTCCCCATGTTGAGAGAAATCAGAAATAAATATGAATATGCATTAATTCATCTCGCTCACAAAAAAAAACACACAGATTCAGTATTCCTCAAAATGAATAAAAATAATGCAACTCAGAATATGACACAAACCTGCAATTATTAAATGTTAAACAACACAAATATCCTTTATGTATTTATTCCCATTCTATTAACCAATGTCTTTGCTTCTGACCTTCGATGATCCAGTTTAACCGTACTAATAAACTTTCCCTTCAGCCTGAGGCTTATTCATTTCACTTCTGATGTGAAAAGGCTTTTATATTTGCCAAAAATATAACTTTTTTATTTTAAAAACAAACAAGCAAGCCCTGTCCAGATTTAAAAAGTAGCGCAAAAGTAACGTAACGCATTACTTTCCATAAAAAAGTAACTAAGTAACGTAATTTTTAATGGAGTAACGCAATATTGTAATGCATTACTTTTAAAAGTAACTTTCCCCAACACTGGTTATATTACTGCTGTTTACATGCCGTTAACTCATGGAACTCAACCAGCAGAGGAAGCCATTTGACCGTGAACTTTTGCTTATATTACAATAATAATATTAAATATTTCACATTTTGCATGCAGATTATATGCAGTGTTGGGGAAGGTTTGGTAAAGTAACCTATTACTTTGGAAATGTTACAGAAAGTGTTGGGTATAACTAGTTACTAAGTAATTAGTTACTGTAATTTAATTACTTTTCCCTTGAAAAAGTAAAGTAAGGGATTACTCCGATTTTTTCTGTAATTTAATTACAGTTACTTCTGGATTTAACATCCAAGTTTAAAGTCTAACCTTAAAATGCATGCTTTTTATGAAATCTTCTCACTTTAAATACTTTGGTGAGTTAATAAGAATATTGGTAACACTTTAGTGTCCAATTCTCACGATTAACTAGTTAGTTATTAGCATGAATATTGCTGGGATATTGGCTGTTTATTATTACTTAAAAAGCACATATTAAGACCTTATTCTAAATCCTTAATCCTACCCACTTCCTATCTAATTCTTAAACATAATTGTCAACAACTACTTTACTAAATATTAATAAGCAGTAATTAGGAGTATATTGGGGCAAAGGTATAGTTAGTTCATAGTTAATAGTGAGAATTGGACCCTAATCTAAAGTGTGACCAGAATGATTTATGTAGTTATGTATTATTTATTTGAAAGAATTAAAAGAACGTTTCATGCCTATCCTTGTATCATTCATTAACATGTCAAGGTTGATATATGATTTAGAAAGTAATAAGTAATAAGTGATTAAATACTTTTTGGAGTAATTTGTACAGTAATCTAATTACACTGTTGTAGACTAAATTAGTAACTAGTAATTAATTACTTTTTTAAAGTAACTTACCCAACACTGGTTACAGAAAGTTACTCTATTTAAAATGTAGTAAGTAGTGTAACTATTAATTAATAAGCAGTAATTAGGAGTATATTGGGGCAAAGGTATAGTTAGTTCATAGTTAATAGTGAGAATTGGACCCTAATCTAAAGTGTGACCAGAATGATTTATGTAGTTATGTATTATTTATTTGAAAGAATTAAAAGAACGTTTCATGCCTATCCTTGTATCATTCATTAACATGTCAAGGTTGATATATGATTTAGAAAGTAATAAGTAATAAGTGATTAAATACTTTTTGGAGTAATTTGTACAGTAATCTAATTACACTGTTGTAGACGAAATTAGTAACTAGTAATTAATTACTTTTTTAAAGTAACTTACCCAACACTGGTTACAGAAAGTTACTCTATTTAAAATGTAGTAAGTAGTGTAACTATTACAATTACTTTATTATAAAGTAGCTAATGTAACTGATTACATTTGATTATGACTTTTCTAAATTTAAATTTCTATTTTTTCTAAACTGTTAATTACTGTCAGACATCAAAATCCTTATTCACTTGAATTAAGATTATTGATCATTTAATTTGAAAGCAGGCCACCATAAAACCAGACTTTAGTATTTCTTTTTACTCTGAGATTGTTCTGAGGTTAAATGCGAATTTAAAAATCATAAGATAGTTTAGTTTATGGTACTGTTTTCGAAAACAAATCTTTGCATAGCTATGACAGGAGACACAGGCATCTAACAATGCCTTGGAAAAAACTGTTACCGGTAATTTAAAAAATAAAGCATATACATAAACCCAAAAAGGAAATAAAACAGTTAATAAGCATGTGTCCTGTTCTGTGTCAATGCAGTTTTGGAAGGAAATCAGTCAAATCTGTAGGTGAGTGAAAATATTCAGATAACCCCCTTTGTACATTTTCATAAGTAACGTTAACTGTCATTTAATTACACATTTTTCTCAGTAACTGCAACAGATTACAGTTACATTTATTTTGCAATTAAATTAGGCTACATAATTCCGTTACATGTTACTGGTTACTCCCCAACACTGGTTATATTTGAGAATGTCACGGTATTTTATTACCGCTGCTTTGGACAAAAACGCGGAAAAACAGATATTGACAGACGAAGAATGAGACTTTTCCAAACCACCACAAAGAATTTGGTTGGAAAGCAATACAGGCACCAATGCCAAACTAACAGCGGCCAATGCATGTGGTTGAGCCACGCCTTCTCGCTGCACGAGCTCCCTGTTTTTCGCGCGAGCCCTCTTCCTCTGTTTCCAGGCAGATAGTACTCAACATGGCGGCGACGGGTAACGAAGAGCAGACGTTGTTGCCAGATATCGAAGAGGAGGCTGAGGGCATGGAGCGAGAGATGGAGTCGGAGGAGGAGGAGGAGGAAGAAGAAGGGATGGGAGTTGAGCATTCCGAGGAGGAAGATGAAGAGGATACGTCTGAAGACGAGCGCGAAAATGAAGCGGAGATCCAGAGGCTGGAGGAACAGGTGAGAGGAATGAATGAGGCTAACGACTCTCCTCACATACGCAGCTCTCAAAACACCGCACGAACGACTCTGCTGGGGAGCTTCTGTTCATGTCTTTGGCAGAGCCCGTTTATTAGAGAAGTCCTACGTGCTTAACTTACCAAATACTTGGGCAGGAGTGATAAAAAAATATATAGAAATGCATAACTGTTCCTGAGGAATGTGGCTAGCAGAGGCTTAAGCGAGCTAGCGAAGACTCGTCTTGATATTTAACCATCAGAACTACCTTTTCGTCTCGTCTTTTTACTTCGGTTTTCCACCTATATACAGTGTTTAGGGAGCTTTGTGATCTTACATGTCAAAATACTTTGTGAAATATACAGTAAAAAAATTGTTGTTTTTGGAGTGTTTTGATGGCGCGTGCCGTGCGCACGGAGTTCAAATTCGCGCAACAGAGTTGTCAAGAAACACCTATTAGTTCCTTTGATGACTTTAGATTCGAGTCATGTTTATAACACAGTAGTTTTAGGTTACAGACCACATGCAGTAGCAGGAGGCGTTCAGGGGCTGAAGATGGACACACTGTTGCGCAGTGGTTGTAATGGTCATGTCCACGTGTTTGTTCTTCTAGTGCTCCAGCTCTTGGGGTTTGTCCTTCTGTTTTGACAAACTGTATACAGTAGATGAAAACACCAGAGAGGCACAATAAAGGGACCGTATATATTTGTAGTCCTGCATGTTTCTTTTTGTACTAAGATTATGAGAGCAGTAAGTTTTAGGAGCTCATTTTTAGTCAATTCTGCAAGACTTTTCAGGATAGGAGATGGAATAAAAAGGAGCCCCCTAAAACTTACTGCCAGATTCTTGAAGATAAATTCTTCAAAAAGTGGTACAAGAGGATGTGGTGCTGGTCCTTCAAGAGTCACTCTCAACTTATCTGTTCATAAAGCCTATAAAAAATTAGTCTTAGTGTATTTCACAATACTTCAGCATAGTGCTGGGCAGTATGACCAAAAATTTATATCACGGTATTTTTCCAAATTATACCGGTTTCACGGTATACGATGGTATTTTTTTTTTCATGCATGACCGGGTTAACCATATTTTCTACTGATTGAGAGAGGAAATATTGCAGTATATTGACTTAGAATGCCCTATTTTACTGTCATGATGAGTGAATATTGTCAAAAAATACTACACTAAATAGTGACTAAACACAACCCCTTTTAATGTTAACCAGGAGTCACTCTCATTTATAATCGCATGCATCTACACTAGGGTCATTTTTTAGGATTTTTTACCCAAGCAAAGTCTCTGAGAACCTGACACCTTGTAATTCCGGAGACTCCAGGAAGGTTGCAGTTCTGGAAAATGGTGGCGATGGAGACTAAATGTTTCCTGATGGTTTTAC